TGTATGCTTTGATTAAAATAATAGGAAATATGATCTGTTTGAAAATCCAGTGATTGCCTTTCACAATGTACTACTTAAATATTCTAAAATAGAATATTGCTACAATTTTAATATCATTCAGCACCAATGGTTAGCTTTTAGAAATGGTTGGACCTTAAGCTAAATGATTAAATTAGTAAAAGGCTGAAAATGTGAGAGCTGTAATTTACAAGACTCAGACTCTTCAGCATTTACAGCAGTAGTGAAATTCATTTTTTTTTATTACAGGTTCTGTGGGCGTGGGTTGGTGGGCATGGCAGGGGAAGGATGCAAGATCTCCATTCCTTCTCCATTCCAGGAGAAGGATAGTGCAAAAGCTCCATTCCCACCCCACTTGCCAGTGGTGGCATTTGCCGGTTCTCTGAACTACTCAAAATTTCTGCTACCGGTTCTCTAGAACCTGTCAGAACCTGCAGGATTTCACCCCTGATTTACAGGTAGTCCTTGACTTATAAGAGTTCATTCAGTGACCACTCAAAATTACAATGGCACTGAAAAAGGTGACATGACCATTTTTCACGTTTATGATGGTTTCAGCATCCTCATGGTCACATGATTTACATTCAGAAGCTTGACAACTGGTTCATATTTATGATGGTTAGAGTGTCCTGTGGTCATGTGAAGGCCCTTTGTGACCTTCTGACAAGCACAGTCAATGGGGAAGCCAAATTCACTTAGCAACCATATTACTAGCTTAACAATTGCATTGATTCATCTAATAACTGTGGCAAGAAAAGTCGTAAAATTGTCACTGAACAAATTTCTCACTTAACAACATAAGTTTTGGGCTCAATTATGGTCATAAGTTGTGGACTACCTGTATATCTAATTCTAAATTAGACCTGTATCTACCTGTATATCTAAATTCTAAACTAAGCAAAGATATTGTCTGTTGTTCTCTCAGCAATATCTAATTATTACAGTTGTTTTTTTTTAATTTATACACTTAAATGTTATCTGTCTATCAGAAAACCTTGAAGCAGATTCAACGTGTGCTAAGAATTTAAAAATACAATTTTAAGTACCAGTGTTTAGTGTAGCATATTGGAGAGGGGAGGTAGTTCCATATGGCAGGAGAACCACAGCATGCTTCTATAGAGAGAATATACTGAACTGAGATGTTTTAGAAATTAATTTGGTCTCATGTTCTTTAAAGGCTTTCTCAGCAGGTGGAAACACCTGAGCAACCTTGTCTAGATTCAAAATTAAGCGAGTTTGGACACATTGAGTAATTAAAGAAAATCCATCAAGGAACTCCAGGTCTGGGAAGTTGAAAAAAGGCATTCTAGAGAAACAAGTTGGCAAATTATTTTTATGGTGTCAATCAAAATAAGTTAACTGCCTTTTTGATCACTAGAGTTGAACCTCACTCAGGGAATCTTTACCTTTAACTCAAATCCATACTATCAGTTTGAACTTGGCTTGTAGTAGTAAGGGAGCCAATGGAGTTACAGTACTTTATCAACTGGCTCTCCTGCAAGCTTTGCATGTTTTAAAAGCTATGTTCTGGGAAAACATTTCTTGCTGAATGCTGTCAATTTTGTTTTCATGATTTGGAATCTGACCTGTTGAGCTTATCAAACACTTGCAGATATCCTAAAGTGCAGTTATCTCAATCTGTGAAGAACACCACATAAATGTGTGGCTTCAAGAGGAGGGGTAGGTGGAGAAAGAGTGGGAGTAAGGTACATTGCCTCACTCTTCTTCAGTGCATTGTGTGAATGTGGAGTGGATAAAGACACTATCAAACAAATGGCAGTAAAGGTTTTTTTTGCCCTGACATAACAGCTGTTCTTTCAAATTTTCATCCTGTGCCTTTTTCTAAAGGAATTACATAGAAATAATATCTAATGATGACTTTTGAATCAAAGGATAGAATTGTGGCATAGTCAGAAATTCAGAGTACTTAACCTGAGAATTCTGCATAAGTCCCTGCAGATCTGCTGACCTTGCTCCAGTAACACCTCCTTCTTGCCAAAGTCCATGCTCCAGTGCAGACATGTACAGCAGAAAGCATCCAAAAGGTGCTTTTTTCAAGAGGCAACTGGACTTTCTGGTTTTTCTTTGAAGATGTTTTGCTTCTCATCCAAGAAGCTTCTTCAGCTCTGACTAGATGGTGGGGAATGGAAAGATTTCATTCATTCATTTCATTCAATTCCTCCATTCTCCACCATCCAGTTAGATAGAACTAAAGAAGCTTCTTGGATGAGAAGCTAAACGTCCTCAAAGAAAAACCAGAAAGTCCAGTTGCCACTTGAAAAAAAGCACTTTGGGACAACCCTGGATGACTGAGAATCTCCACAGACCTTTAACATAAAGCATGATAATGTAGGACCTTGGCTTTTATAGAATCCAAAACTGGGACATGAATTGTTTTTGCTGCTAGTGTTCATGGATTAATGTTGGCAGGAGAGTAGTAATGTGATGTCTGCATCCTGACGAGGAGCTCCTTAAGCCTGTTTTGGTAAACAAAAGTATGTTTTGCTAAGAGAGCTACAAGAAGTGTTATGCTATTTTTCCACTCCAGAAGCCCTTCAAGAGACCAGGCTGTCAACCTCCACAAATGCATACATTCAGCTGAAGGCGAAAGATGATCTCTGACATGATGGCCATAAAACCTTTGGTAGGTTCTTTTGGAGAAGCCAAGTCAAGAATAATGGGAAGGGGGGGGAAGATCTGATCTTTTGTAAATGGCCTTTATAATTCTGTTTTTGTCTCCTCAGTTAAACAGTAATTCACCAATTCTGTTGGTATACCTATAGGTGATAATGTGACTAGTGTACATTCCTGAAGGTTCATGCATTCTGGCACTTTGATCCGTAATGCCATTATCAGTCATGCTAATAATCACTCATGCTCCTTGGTCTGCTCTTGTAGGGAAAAGTCATCCTTGTCTCAATGTGAGTTTTCCACCAGCACTCTTATTAATTGTGGGAGTCATTCCATCAGCACTATCGCTATGATAATTAACATGGTACAAGAAAGGCCTAGAGGGAAGGGGAAAAAATGAGCCATTAAGGGATATTCTTTTAGAGACTATAAATGCTTCCAAATTTTATTAGCATCAGGTTGTATCTCAGAAGTTATTCTAAGGTAGAGCAACTTTTTTCTAAGCCACATTCTCTGTTAACTCATTTGGTGCTTGAGAGTTGTTTGTGGATATTGGTTCTCCCTGAGGGAACTGTTGCATTGTAACTAAACCTACCTGTACCTTATTGTCTTCCTATGTATCTCCATGTCCATTTGTGCAGCTATATGTACCCATATACCAGGTACAGGCAAAAAAAAGTATTCAGATTTACATTCATCTGTCAAAAAGCCTGTGAACATTATATGCCTGCCATACAATTATCAGTGACTTCTAAGAAGCTGATTATGTATCAAACACTTAGGAAATCCTAATGTATTTTTTGTGTAAACAATGGTAATGTTTTGCTTTTGCAAAAAAGCAAACATTTTATTTAAAACTATATATATTATCATGAAATTAATACAATGCAAGATAGCATCCTTGTCATAGTGTAACTTTGGAATTATTAGATGAAATTGCACTTACCTGAGAAAGAGAGAGAGAGCGAGAGAGAGAGAGGGAGGGAGGGAGAGTGGGAGGGAGAAAGAGAGAGAACGTAGTATAGTGTTGAAATATATTTTAATTCAAATGAACTGTGCAAGATGGGTATATTTTCAGAAACTGTAAATAAAAATTTCCTAAGGACCTAGAAGGCGTCACGGAGGGAATCAAGGCATGTTCCCTCAGTTGATACTGGTGGGCCTATCCAAGAGTTAAAATCTTAGTTTCAGCGTGCAATGGATTACTTTATAACAGACCTTGGGAGATGGGAGTTTTACTTTTTCTACATTCAATTTTCGGAGTATTACAACTTATACAAGCGAATTAGCAGCCTTGCTTTTTGTTTTAGACAGAGTTCAAACTACATTTGGGTTTCAGGATTCTGGAAGAAGGATTAGATTTAGTGGTTAATCAGGAGCATGGAATTCAGGAGCAGGTTGTAAGAAAGGACTATCTCTTTAATCCAGGCATGCTGTAACCAGCAGATCTTGTCACAGCAGATGTCGAGGGCTCAAAGAAGCACCTAGGAAGTGAATGACAATCAGCACAGCAGCAAATAAAATCAGAGTCTGTACTTTGATTTTCTCCTGGGGATTCCCCAGCTGTGTTGCGCTGCTCAAATCAGAAATGTGCATAGTTGTAAATGCTCAATATTATGATGTTGCATCTCTCAATATGTAGTTATTCTCTGAAACAATCTGATGTTTATTCACAAATAAGCCACAAGGCTGCCAAACCGAAGGGAAGAGATATGATTATTGGTTCAAAGTTTAAAACAACAGAGATCCATCTCTGCTCTGAATGCCTTCTTCACAAAGTCATTTTTCTTACTTTTTAAAATAGAAATACTTGGCCTTTTAGACAAACATTGTTTTGAGCACTATACAGGTGCTGGGTGCCTGAATACCTTATATAGCATGTTAAAAACATGTCTGCATTTGCTTCCCCCTTCTTCTAAACTGTACAAAGCTGTCACCATTTATTTCTCAATAGTTACACTTTAGAACTTGACTTTCCATAGAGTGCTTTTCAAATTGATGCTTTTTAAAATGTCTAGGCCCATCTTGTGCCAATAAAGTGTCACTGGCTAAAATTGGGTGCAGGTCTTCCCTTGCCCAAAGTTGCTTCTCTATTCTGGGAAAAGCAACCACTTTAGGAATCTAAATTTGGAATCTAAATTCAGAATTTAATATTCTAAATCTCTTAGAAATACAAGAATTCAGTCAGAGGAAGATGTGGCAATTCCAAATCATCACTCCAGACATTCCCTTTGGATATCATTCATCCCATGCCCAGTTCTATGGCATACAGGTTTCTAAAACCCCTTCCCTCCCCCCCCACCCCACCCCCATTTTTGAATCTTAGGTTTGCAAAGGATTTTGAGGAGGTATGTTGCCCATCAAGAATTTTTTCAATGTGCATAAATGTAACCTACCACAATCTGTGATACACAAACTTGGAAACTGTGTTCATGTTTCAAGAACACTTTTATGATCTGCTTGAAAAGGACATTACAGTTGAAGACCAAAGAGCAATATTTATCAACATTTAAATAAAACATTTCGGTGGCATTTTTATGTATATAAATATTTCTTCATATTAATAGATCACAAAATTAAATAGCTCAGATACATAGACACTATTTAATATACTTCCACTGTTGTCAAAATCACCTGTAAACACCATCTCACACTGAATACAAAAGCAGCTTTTATACCAGTTCCGTGTTCAACAACACTGATTCCTCTTTTCATAAAGAAAGTTGTTTTATTATTACTTTTAATTGTCAGATCTGAGTGTCAGATCAAAAATGAAAAAAAAAAGTGGGGAGAAGCCCCGTAAAACTCTCGGTTGATTGAAAATGTAATATACAAAATTGCTTTTTAAAAAATGTGAATAAATCCTATCTGGAATAATTGTTTAAAGTACAGTCCTTTCCTCTGGCATGTCTTGACTTTTACGAAGCACAGCAGAGGCATAGACTCCTCTGGAACATTTCCTCTGCACACAGCCCTGAATGAACCAATCGGAGTTGCTAAGAGTAGGGAGGGAGGGGGGGATCATGTCCAAGCTCTGCTGAACTGACTGAATTGATAAATAAGAGGGATCACTGCTTGTGTCTCAGCTACTTTACAGCCCTTTTTTTGTCTTTCTGAGAAGGTGCTTAGCTATTTGAATTTGCAAACAACTTACATTCACTTGGGACATTGTACTGCACAAACTGGAAATTTCCACTACTGTTTGGAACAAAAACAGCAATAATAATAATAATAATAATAATAACAACAGAAGCTTTCAAAATCGACAAGCATTATTGAAAGTGCCATTTCGTTATTTTAAAAAAATACAGTTATTTATCCCATGTCTAAAATGCCTTTCAATGTACAGAAAATAGAGACAAGACTCTGGTGCATTCTCCTTGGGAGCATGCCTGATGCAGACAGCTGGGAAGAAGTAATGTGCTTATTCCATAGATTCTTTGTCCTTGTTTTACACTTCAACAAAAACACAGGATAAACACGGACCTGACTTTTTGCTGACACTGTTCTTAAGCCTCTTTCTGGGGCTTTCTCTTTCTCTCTGTCTCCCTCCCTCCCCTCTGCGAAATTTATCGAAAGGATGAGACTTTCCGCTCCAGCTTTTCTACAACTTAAGAGATTCCCAGGGCTACACTGGATACTGCACTAAAAATCTGAGTTCCTCTGAAACCCTCATATTTAAAGCAGAAGTAAAGCCTGTACCCAGTTTCTCATGAAGATGAACTTCTCGTAAGGATTCTGCCTTCTACTTGTGGCCGCACTTCTCCAGTTTGAAGAACATTTTAATGTTTAAAGGATATCTCTACTTGAAAAATATACATACTCAGTCCTTCTGCTTGAATGTATAGGAATAACATGCACCCTTTGGAAATTCTTCACTGTTGTACATAAAATTATTTTGTGGAGTTGCAATTTTAAGATTGCCCAAATCAATACAATATAAATGAGTTCTGAAAAACTGTTTTCAAGGCCCCTTGTGCTGCTCACATGTCATAGTGATGGTAATTACTGCTGAGAAAGACAAGACCTCACCTTTCCTGTAAACAGACAGCAAGTGCTGAGTGCATGGGATGTTCCTGCACAGGTTATTTAATAAACCGAGTCAACAAATTGACATTACACCCACAAAAGGAGAAGATGGGAAGCTCTAAAATGTTTGGGACATCTGTACAGTATTCGGAACACACATATACCCACATTTTGAAATAGATCAGTCCAATTGGATCCTACCAGATTTATCAGAAAAAAACATATTGGGAGTGGGCTAGCTATGTCTGTGCTCTCCTGAGATCCCAGAATGAATTAACAAGTGCAGGACTGAATAGATCACTCATAGTTTAGTATGCAGCTTTTTGGAATTGTGTAGATAAATTTTCAGGTATCTGATTGTTCTTTAATAAATATATTTGTAATTTGTTTTTGCTTTATGTTTCTTCAACTGTTACAGTATACAGGAAGTATTAAAAGGATACATACATCAGGCTGCTACTTTCACATCTTTGAAGATATGTAGTTGGCTCCAGCAACCACCCTCCCTTTAATGTTTATTATTGTGGTTAAAAAATACTATTCTATGAAGTTTCCCGTGGAATCCGCTTCTGAAAAATGACTGATGGTCTCTGCTGATATTGTTGCCTGCGTCGTTTACGTTTGTCACACTGACAGAGCAGTAACATCTTGAATGTGGTTCTGAAAGTTTTATTACACAGTGCATAGCACATAGGGTTCACTGTACTATTGATGTAGCAAAGCCAATACCCCAGGTTCCAAATTGTTTTTGGGATACAGTCACAAAAAGTGTTTACCAGGACCATGATATTATATGGGGTCCATGTGATAATGAAGGCAAGCAAAATGGCACTAAGTGTCTGTGCAGCTTTCTTTTCTTTGATAAGTGATATTCGCTTTCGTTTGGTGATCTGACTTCTTGTCTTCAAGGCGAACTTCTTGGCCAGGGTGGCTTCCTTGAATGACAAAGGTAAGGCATTAGATGCCTTCATCCCTGTGGAAATGCCGTCTGAAGCCTTTCCTCCATATACTGCAGATGCTTGCTGAACTGGAAGCTTGGGAAAGCATTTCTTTAAATTCTCATCATCCGTGCTCTTTTGTGGATGAAGCCTTTGTGGTTTCTGCTCCTTTGACTCTGTGTCCAACTTCTGCAGTTCATCTTCTGACCCAGGCAGATCTTCTGATGAAGGCAGTTTTGAAGAATTGAGAATTGTACTATGTCCTGGAAGCTTTAGCACAATGGAGTAGATGGCTCGCGTGTCCGAGGCAATGTCATCTTCATCAGAAGAGGCGGAGTTCTCAAGGGATCCATTGCCATCATTGTTGTTCCAGCTGTCGCTGCTGCTATGCTCCTGATCAACCTGATCTGAACTGGGTTTCCAGCTCTTGGATGTCATCCAGAAGTTGCAGCCCCCATATTTTCTTCGTTTGGTATGTTTTGTGTTCTGCTGCTGCAGTTCATAACTGCTGCAGCTTCTAGAACTTCCTGTTTGGTTGACAAAGCATGCTGCCTCACCCTCGCTCCCAGAAGCTTGGAGTCCTGCTAACTCTTTGGTACGTTTCTCTGTCTCCTTGTATATCCTCCAATACAAGATACACATAATAGTAACTGGCAAATAAAAGGCAGCTATGGCAGTGCCAATAGTGAGGACAGGTTGATTTAGGAACTGAATATAACATTTACCCTCTTCGACAGTCCGCTCCCCAACAAAATATTGCCAGAACAGAATAGCAGGAGCCCAAAGGATGAATGAGATGATCCAAGCTAAGCCAATCATCACTGCAGCCCTTCTGGTTGTTCGTTTAGCTCTATAGGTAAGTGGCCTTGTGATGGAAAAATATCTGTCAAAACTGATGACCAGCAGATTCATGACAGAAGCATTGCTTGCCACATAGTCAATGGAAAGCCATACATCACAGGCCAAGTTTCCCAAAGCCCAGCGGTCCATGATTATATATGTGGTGAAAAGGTTCATGGAAATAATCCCAATTATCAGGTCTGCGCACGCAAGACTCAACAAAAAGTAGTTGTTAACCGTTTTTAGCTGTTTGTTGACTTTAAACGCCACAATCACCAAGATGTTTCCAATGATGGTGACAAGGGCCAGAATGCCAGTGAGGAAAACAATCAGGATAACTTGCCAGACAGCATGTCCTCCCAGAGGATCGGGAGGATTGGACCCATTGGTCGGGTTTGTGGTAGGGAAGGAAAAGCTCTCGTTTGCCTGGGAAGATTGCAGCCCCCATATTTTGCTAGTAAACCATGGATCATCACTGGGAAGTCCTTTTGTTTGGGAGTCTTGATTCAAGAAGGTGCTCACATTTAGAAGTAACGAAGGGATTGTGCTGTTGCTAGATGGGATCATTGTGACATTCTGACATATTCTGCAGAAAAGTCAAAAGAAAGAAATGGCATGTAAATAACATATTTATGACAGCATATGCAGCAATATTACTTGCATCAAAAACATTATTCAAAATGTTAAGGAGCTGGATCCTATTGTAAAATGGGACTATATCAATATCATGGCCATGGCAAACTCTTAAACATGTGTCCTCAACATTTATGCTGTACCTAAATTACTCATATATTTCATTTATTTCTGGGTTTTCATTTTTGCAATATAAATTGCAAAGCGGGAGGGGGGGGGCTCCATAGAGCATAGAGCAAATGAATACAGCAGGGAAAAAGAGATTTAAAAAAAAAACATGCTCCCATGCTAAGGATCTGACCTGCCCTGAGTTTATGTGCTCATTTTTGAGTAAAAAACAACAATTCAAATGTAGCTGCTATTACTTATATTGAAGTAATGTTATTTTGGCCAGCTTTTCTCAATTTAGTATTGTGGAAGGGCCCTGTTAGAAAAAGCAATCCAACTTGAAATAAGTGCTTAACTTTATTGCTGACTGTGAACAAACAAGAGGCCATTGTTTAAAAGTTAAGAGATGTTAAGTCTTATTGTTTCTATGGTACAAATTGAACACTCAGTCAGGATCCAATAGCAAAGTCAGTTCTGTAATATGATTACCACTTTGAGCTTGGGAAATTCTTTTATACAAAAACATAAAACATCAATTAACCTGGCCAAACATAAGTCCCATTGATTTCACAACATAAGACAGTTGCAGTGGATTCTGGATATTTTCTAAAACTGTTCTCTACCCAGTGAGGGATGATGTTGTAGTACAACAGTCACCAATCTTTCTAACTAGCCTGACCTGGTTGGAGTGTGTGTGAATGGCAGGAGGATATGTGTGCACACAGCTCCATTTGTGGGAGTGGCGGGTGCGTGGCCCTCCACTCCCATGAATGAAACTTTATGTGTGACAGGAGGGTGCATGAAGCTCCATTCATATGAGCACCAGATACTTGCATGTGAAGCTCCACTTGTGTAAACAGAGGACATTAGCAAGCGAAGCTCCATTTGCACAAATGAAGCTTCGCGTATGATTGCAAGTGCCCTCCGCTCACATTAATGGAACTTCATGTATGAATGCAAAAGACTTCTGCTCAGGCGCGTACACTTGTCTATCTCTTCTGCAGACTGGTTTTGACCAGGTTAGGGACCCCTGTTGTAGCATGATTTTCTAACTTCTGTTTAAACATCTCTACTGCCAAAGACCCCACTGAAAGATATGCCAATCCTTACAATAGTTGAATAAAATATTTCCTATGATTCCAATTTCCATTTTCTTCTGGATACATTTCAGCTATTTGAAGATAACTATGTTGTCTTCCCATACACTTTTCTTCCTGGTGAAATACTTAATCTTTCCATTAGTTCTCACAAAACTAGATTTCTGGATTCTTTCTTATCTTGGCTGCTCTTCTAGTCTAATTGGTCAACATCTGTTGTAAGATATAGTACATCAACCAGTTGCAATAAACAAGGACACAAACATGCCCCAACATCTTTTTCCCCCCAAACTGGTGCCTTCATCAACACTCAGAATAATCACTATTAAATTGTCCATTAGTGGTATCAATGTTAAAGTAGCATTTACTACCCCATCTTGAAACCATTCAGGACTGGATTTAAGGTATATAAAATCTGTTATTTTTTGTTACTTTGGTATTTTGAGTGGCTTGAAACAGAAAAAGTGGAAGGACAGCAAATTTCATGCAGATATGATTTTCTGCTGATTCAAGGATAATAATTTAACTCAGCAGTGGGGAAAGGCCGTAAAACATGTTACTTTCTTGGTGCAATTAAAAAGCTGGTTATATTTCACCAGTTTCTTTTTACATGTAGCATTGCCAAGTCAAATGTCTCTTTTTTATATGTGTATAACCCATATAAAGAAGAATTGAGAAATACATCATCACTGTCAAAGACAGAAGCCAAAGCTGAAATTACACCATGTATTCATGATAATGCCATGTCCCAATTATCTAATTGTAGCAAATAGTTTTCCTGTTTAAATCCCCACATGGCTTTCATACTGTCATAAACCTGTTTCAAATCTTGTACAAAGGAAATTTATCAAATAATGTATTATGCTTTGAGGGAAAAAAAAGATATGATCAATTGGCAAATCATCTTGTAAAATATTTGGAAAAGAGTAGAAGAAATGTCCCAATTGTATGTCCAAAGGTGGAGTGTAGAAAAGCATTGTAAAATGAGATACTGTCAAATGCTGGAAGTAAAATGAAGAATAATTGAGCACATCTGACACAGAATAAGATCTGCAATGTTTCTCCATAAATTAGGTAACATTTGTTTGTACATCCTGCCAGCCAAGCATCTGGTTCACAGAGTACTTTACAAAAGCAAAAGGCCCACACGTCAGTAGTAACAGAAGTGCCAAGAGTTTGCTTTAAAAGGTTGAAATTCTAGCATATCCAGATAGCAACATGACCTGACTCAACAGGGCATTTTCTCTGATTTCAAAGAGCTGCTGGCATTGCACCCACGCATGCAGACACGCAAAAACAGAGTGGGCCTGATAAACCAATGACCTTATTTAGGATGCTAGCTTCTGCTCATGGAAAACATGAAATATCAAATCATTTGTAAACATTAACATTGTTTTGAAAAATACAAGAGAAAAGAAGTCAAATGTGAATCACAGAAGGGAGGGAGGAATGGAGGGAGGCTAATATCTATTCACTATAATGAGAACAGAGCAGCAAATGCATAATTAAACATCTCTGGCAATATTTAAACACCGTGTGGGAAACTGTTTCTTAAAACAACATGCATTATGTTTTGTAAATTCTCCTTTCATACAGTGTGGTATGATTTTCACCTTGTGGTGATGCAAAGTTTCATTTCCCTAAGAACTTACATATTAATTCTCATTCTTTCCCTCCCCCCTTCCTTTCTCCTCTCAAGAGGTTACACAATGTCAAGTGTGTTGTGCAGACTTCTTCTGAATAGATTCCCATAGGTAACGCTGTAAATTATAAGTTTGGCACTGAACATTCAATAAGAACTTTAGATTTAAGTCAAAGATTTAGGGGTGTTTTTGTTTCCTTTTGCTCTCATCCAGTGGTCATCGGAATAGTATTTTGATAGACAGTTAAAAAGCAGTTGTGCTGCCCTATCTTCATCTCTCCAATTTCACTTCTTAAACATATACTGCGGGGAGGCAGTATTTTTTTAAAAAATGTATCATGGTAAAACTCTTGAAGCGATCTAATCAAAAATCTGTAGGGTAAACTTTGCTAAAGGATCTCAAAGGTGCTTTTGAAAGAGCAACTTTTAGATGACTGTGACCTGGATCAATCACCACAGATATTTTGTTAAAGGATATACTGTCCCTTCTATTTTCATTTCATTCTACTCAAAAATGAAGCAGCTTCAGATGTTTGAAATTTCCACATTATAACATGTTTCTTTAAAATCCAATCTAGAATTTCAAATTGCTTCAGATTGATTCATGTTGTGATTGAAACTTGAATTACAAATTTGAATTGTACCCTCTTTCAATCTTGATTCTCTTACTCATGTAAAATAAGGAGTGATTTTACCATGTTTGGAATGTTTTTGTTAAATTGAATCTTCCCTGTCCCTAAAAAAATATTATGGTAAAAAATATTACGGTAAAAAATATTATGATGTACTGTATATCTGCACCTTATCTGTTTGGAGCTGTTTAAAAACAAGTTTTAGGATTATTAGAGTCTTGAATAAGTAGAACAAAAGAGAAGCAATTTTAAAACACCAAATCACAAAAAAGACGTAAAGATTGCCCAAAGTACTGATTTTCAAGTTTGGGGAGATAAATCCTAGTGCTAAAAATTCCACTAAACTATTATAGTGTGTTTTCATTTCTAAAATGAATACTTGGTTTCTATGAAAAATAAATGAAAGTGCAAACAATCTAAGGAGGAGGAATATATATATATATATATTGATTTGATGCTGCTTTAAAAACAATGTTTTAGCTGACAATAATTATTGTATTGCTTAGCAACATGTTCTATTAATAGTACAACTTAGCCATCAATTTAAGCACATATATTAAAAAGTTGCTAGCATTTCCTGTATCAAAGTATCTATCACCTTTTATCTAGCACAGGTTCTGAGTCATTCATTTCATAATATCTGGCCGCTTTGCAGCTGTTCCTAAATTATGGAAACAAGGATTACCACAAACATATTTGCTCTATTACAGTGGACTTTGCTTTACCTTTATGAGATGAACTCTATGGACTATAGGTTGCTATAGGAAACACGATGTGTTGCATATTACTGATAATGACCTAGTGCCGAGTCTAAATATTTCTGACACTCTGAAATCATGGTTGTATTATGGCTAGGCTCTGATCTCACCATCCCCTCAACTTCCTTTCAAATATTGATTTCCTCTATTTGTTTGCAATAGTGGAGGGCAAGGCTTTGAGATAGAAAGACCCCATCTAATGGAATAGAAAATTTCCACCTATAACTGGGCAACTTTACTTCATGCTGAAGTGAATTGAAATACTGAAATATATTAATCTGTAACTCTCCATCATGAAGAAGAATACGATGGTGTTTTGAAATCCGCTAAAGAGAGGATGGTAGAGTAAGGCTCTTAAGTCAACTAAAATTAGTTAATGGCACTTGACGTGTAAGTGTCCTTTTGTGACTTAAGAATGATTGAATAACTATTTGTCTGAATCCTATTTGGTATAGGATTCCCTGCCTAAGCAGGGGGTTGGAGCAGAAGATCTCCAAGGTCCCTTCTTAATTATTCTCTTCTCTTCTCTGCTACTCTACTCTACTCACTGTGTTGGAAAAACCTCAGATAGTTTGCCTATGTTCACAGGTCTAACATCAATCCAAAATATAGCCAGAGACTTTGCTTAGCTTGTTTTCATTGGTGGCTGATAAATTTACTCTTTGGAACAAAGGAAGAAACTATGCCAACTAACATAGTTAAAAACTTATAATAGA